GAGAGAGAGAGAGAGAGAGAGAGAGAGAGAGAGAGAGAGAGAGAGACTCTCTGATGTCACCTTGTATCATTTCAGGCTAATTTCACCTATTCTCAGAGAGGAAAAGAGAGAACGAGGCAGAGAGAAAGAGAGAGAACAAAAAAAGTAGAGACAACACAGAAAGTAAATTATAAGGTACAACTTTATTAGTGTCCTTGAGGTGGTCAGAGCCACTCAGTGACTCTCACACATACACACACACACACACTCAAAACAACAAACACAAGCAACAGAGTACAGAGTGTAACACACCACAGTAAAAAGCAATGTTAAGAGGGCATTAGGAAAGGCCAGTGTACAATAATATAACACAGATCCAGTAAAGTGATACTGCGTCATCCCTTCTGCCTGAACTCCTCTCTTCTCCTCCTCTCCTCCTTTCCGTCTCCTTTCCTTTTTTTAAGCCGTCTGCATGCGTTTGAGCCCAAAACTAAAACGGAGAGTCACTGGAATGAAATGTCCCACAAAGCCATATATAATTATAAATTTGAGTCAGCAAACGTAATTATTAACTGAACTCGGACAATTTTTTTAGGATTGGGAGGGAAACGGTATTACTGGTGGTTGGAATTGGATTTTAATGATGTAAATGTAATTATTGTCCTTGGAAATTATTTCCGTTTGCAAAATGGAGCTTCTCTCCTCTCCTCTCTCCTCCCCTCTCCTCTCCTCTCCTCACCTCTCCTCTCTCCTCTCCTCTCCTCTCCTCTCCTCTTCCTGTGGTATGATTGTGATGCCCCCGAGATTTTGATCCTTATTGAACGATTTATTATTGCAGGAAAGACGGGGATAGAAGCAAAAGACAAAAGGCAACGGAAACAAAAGAAAATAGTAAATCAATAGGCTTATATTCATCTCCCCCCAATATAAATAATTACATTTTTCTGCCTCCCTGTTCCCCTCCCTTCTCTCCCTCTCCATTTCTTTGTACTCTTTCCTCCCGTTTCACCCTCTTTCACTCACCCTATCTTATCTGCTCTCTGGTGATAACATCTCTGCCCGCAGACTGCAACTGAGCTCTGCTGATAAATACTAGTCCCAGTCAGAAAGAGCGAGGGTAAGCACTGTAAGTACATTAGATTCCTGAGCAGATTTCAGCTGTTCGGCCTCAGCGGGAGCTCCTCGCCAAAGAAGGGATGATGTAACGCTCATCTGACGAGCTCCTATATAGCATAAAGTGTAAAACATCATATAGGAAGTTCGTGGAAGTACAGAAAATGTCCTCGTTAATGTAAACTATGAGTTTTATTGATTTCAAGGTAATTTAGCCTAATATATCTAGTTTTTTATTTCCAGACCTCTTCAGAACTTACTGAAGCTGCAATATGTGGGATTCAGAGTATTCATATAACAGCAAACGACTATTTGCTCGGTAAAGATGTAGTGGAGTAAAGTCTATCTGTAGAAACAATGAAGTCTCCAAAACGTCTCTTATTTTAAAACTCACGAGACATTTTTGTATTATTCAAACCAAGATTGGTTAACTTACATTTCTAAGACTTCATTTCCAGCATTCACAGCATAAATGTAGTAAATTCAGACACAATTTAGATACAATTTACATCTAATAGTAATGTAGCCTAATATTCAGTGGCATTAAAGATATTTACGTGCACATGAGACGATCTCAAAGCATGCACAAACTGCCACTTTGTAGTATAAAGCCAGTTGTAACCGCCGAGGCAATGTGTAGTTCACCAAGGCGATGTCACGTTGCTTTTTTGTACCCTGGTCCAGCCTAAGAAGAGTGTTCTCTTGAACAAGGGCACAAGTATTGACTTAGCATTCTTAGATTTATATCTCTTCGTTATAATGGAGTTTCTTTGTCATAATAGATTTTCTGGAATAGTCTAGAGAAAGAAAAAAGCACCTCAGACCTTCATTTGATTTAAGCGTGTCCCAGGGACTCCTATCTGTGCAGACTATAGCCGTTAGATGGGATTTAATACTGCCTATTCTGCAGATCGGTCAGATCCCATCGGAGGAGCGGAAAGCTAATCAAACTAGCTATTGTTACGCAGTATTGCCGTGTTGCCAACTAATAATCTTGATTTAGGCTAATAACCGCAGATTGTACATGGTCTTTTTATTCCCTCCCTGGGGGGGGGGGGGGGGGGGTCGTCTGTCTCCACCCATGTTTCCAAACAGTTTGAGTCAAAGCACTTTTCTTTGACTTGCCTCCTGGAGGTAGAGGTCAATGCAAATCACCACAAAATGAGTCTGAGTGACGGTGGCAGATGTTGTGTCTGATGCCATTCAACAATCTTTTAGGAAAGACTGTGGCTGTCCTGTTTCTGTGTGCGTGTGTGTGTGGGGCACTCCTCTCTCTGCCCTTGAGCCTTTATCAAGTCCTCCTAATTATTTTATAATGCAAATGAGTCGCCATTATTTCATTAGCGAGGCAGCCAATCACAGAAGCTGATTAGGAGGTGATTAGCATGCAGTCGGCTCCTCTCTCCCTCCCTCTCTCTCTCTCTCTCTCTCTCTCTCTCTCGGTGTCCTTGTGAATGGAGATGAGGGGGGCAATAATATCCCATCTGGACACACACTCGTGCATGTAGTTGGAAAATGTTGTCTGATTTGTTCTCCAATACAATACAGTTAACACATGTGGGCAGACCCAGTACGAATACACAAATACAAAGCGCTGGCTAAAGCTATTTCCCAGCGCTAACAAGGAGCTACAATGAGAGGGAATACTGTACGTGTATTCATAAGGTCACCTTAAACACCATTTCAAATGAATGAGTGTTGCTGCCTGTCTGCTGGATGTGTAAACAGGCAGCTGTTTGCTAAAAACTCAGTTTTCATATAAACTTAAAAAAGCAATAATGTGTCGATGTCTCCTGCTGCCAAAATATCTGTTATTGCTTGATTGTTTGATGACAGTTTGTACCAGTAACACAGCTCACCGAATGCAAAACAGAAGTCAGTGGTTGTTAGAATTTGATTGTTTATGTTTAATTATTTAAGGAACAGTTTCAGACAGATAGATTGATAGGTTTGAACTTCGTTTGGGAAAGCTCGCGTCTCTTTTTCCACAAGACGTAAGATGATAGTTCAAGGTCTGCTCTGCTCATTATTGGCAAGAACTATCAACTGTCGGGTGCTCGTGTGTGTATGTGATTGTGTGTGTTTTGGTTTACGTTGGCAGGACACTGAGGAAAGGGAGAAGTGTTAACTAAGAATATGGGTGAGCTAGTGTGAGGTTTTGTGTGTGTGTGGAGACAGTTTCATACATATTTGGTTTCTGCAGACCCCCTTTTCAGCAGCCACACACACACACACACACAAGGACACATGGCTATTCTGTTCAGTATGTTTGAGGCTGAAAGCAGCAAGAATGTCTATCAGAGGTGCGCAGACGAGAAAAGAGGAATGCTTTACGATTGGTTTAAAAAGAACATTTCTCTCAGTCAGTAGAGCGGAAATGTAAAACACGGTAAGCCGAGCCAAGGCAAAATACCTCCTCTACCACGGCACTGTATGATGTATGCTGAGTGCAACTCTATGTGTGTGTGTGTGTGTGTGTGTGTGTGTGTATACAGCGTGATTTCAAAAACAGTGGGTTTTAAATCCAATTCCACTGTACACTGTATCCTGCTTTCAGAAGCAGAGGATCCAGAGGAAAATATTTGAAAGTGAATAGAGCTTCTGTATGTTCTCTGTAGGTCAGCGGGGCCAAACCAACGCTTTAGCATACAAACCAAAGGCTAAGTGCTTCTGCAATCCCAAAACTACAGCCGAACAATTCGTCACTTAAAGCAAACGCCAAACGTCTGAAAGGCTTTAAACTAAACTAATACACACACGTTTGTCTCGGCGAAGCATTAGCAGCACTTAGCACAACACTCAATGAATCAATTACGTGTCGTCTCTTACCTTTTATTAGAAGTAACGTGTGCACGACTTACATTAACGGGAGTTTTTGTTAATGTTGCGGTGACATTGGCCTTCCTTTTAGAGGGACACTTCACTTTAAAACGCTCAGCGCTCATTCAGGACCAGCTTCACAGTAAACAGCAATGATCATGCACATCGGAGATCAAGACAAATGCTCGTCTTGTCTCATAGATTGCAAACTAATCAAAGATCATATTAATGAAGCAGTCATAGTTTTTTATTCCCACCTTGCTAATTTAACTTGAACAACATGTTTACTGAGGGTCTGCATGACAAAGCGCTACTCTTTACTCTCTACTCTAGGTCTGTTTCTATGCTAAGAGAGTGGAAAATGCACGATCCTGTTGTTAAACAAAGGATGATATTTTCCCCCATAGCTGCATAACACGCACAAGGTTACCTTTCCACATGCAGGCAGTTATTAACAGAAACCATACGTTCACTTGTCCTCGCTTCTGATGCGGTGTATATTGTTGCACACATGCAAACGTGCACCCTATAGTCACACACGTTCTGCTCTTTTAACCCATGCAGAGAGAGCTACCTGACGGCAAGATGTAAACTGACACACACACACTGTGGGAGACAGGAAGCCATGGCGTCTAACAAACACACACAGCAGCATGTGTTACACATCAGTTGAACTACATTGTGTACATCCAAGCCGAGTTCATGACAGAATAGTTTGGAGTACGCCGTACTTCGTGCCCTCTACGTGTCCCAGCGTTTTTTCCGCATTATGACCGGAGGTGACTCGCTGTGACAAAAGACTTAATTGAAGTGAATGGGAGTTGCACGAAGAGAGGCTGGTTTGAGAGAATGACGCCAAGAGGAATGCGATCCCGGTGCAATCTCTTGAGGCTTTTGAGTCACAGCCAACCATGCAGCCGGCAGCAGAAGACAGTCGCTTAGTTTGATGTTAACTTGTTTCTCCTCTGGCGGCTGTCACCTCGTGGTATCCATCTGTAGAGGGGAGCTCAGATCAGCGGGGCATCTGAGGGCCTGTCGCTCTGCTCTCCATCACAGCCGCTGCCGCCGCCGCCCGCTCTAGGACACAGGTAGAGAGAAGCCACTGAATGCGAAGGAGATTTCTGCTGCTGGCGCTGCTGGTTGCTGATAGTGCTTCATGGTGGCTCGCTCCTGTGTACCTTCTAACGCGCCCTCTTGTGTATCTCGGCGTTGGGGTTTGCCGCTCTTTCGGTTCCAACGTTTCATTATCGTCTTGGGTTTGGTTAGTTTCATTACAGCTGAAACGATTTGTTAATTACAGTTGCGTATATGTAAGTGTACCTTTTCATTATATCACGACCACAAAACATATGGAAGATTTTATCTTCTCCTACTTTTGGTAAAGGGCACAGAGGACACATATCAGTGACCACTAACTACCAGTGACTTGACTCAGATGTTATTGTGGCTTTTCTTAGCTGCATCTCTCCGAGCCATTTTATTAAACACAAGCCGTGCGTTGCTCTTAGCTCAATGAATCAGATGGCTAGCAGTGACCCGCGTGCTATTTCTATCAGCAACGTCGCCAGTACAAGCCACGTATCATTTCAAGTTGATTGTTTTCAGCCAGCCGCCGGGGACAAGCGGCGTCTCTCTGTGTTAGAGCCACTTCCTGTTTTCGGGCTGGGCCACCGGCGGGCTAGCTCACGCATTGGTGGGCCCCCGAGGCCTGCGGTGATGGGCACAGATGATCAGCTGAAGGCCCCTGGCGGTTGAGTCAGAGGTGATCCTGATTGGCCCTGAGTGACGGCCGTTGGAGCTCAGACTCCTGGTGGTTTGGTTAATGAGCGGAGACGCAGACACGCACAGAAAAAAACCCCAACGTACAGGAAGGAAAACAAAAAGTTTTACAGGATAAACTCAAAAGGAGAAATCATGTTGCATAAAAACTAATTAGATTTAGTCAATAATTACTGATACTGTGAGGTGAACTAAATGTGATCATGTTTGCTGTTCGCAGGGAGCTGTACGTTTGATGAGGGCTTCACTCAGTGTGATTACCAGCAGGATCCCTACGATGACTTCGACTGGACGTACATCAACACACAGGAAGTGCCGTACGTCTCACCAGAACTGCCACAAGGTAAGACTTCCTTTCCCCCGTCCCTGTCATCCACTTGTTCGACTCCTCCAAGTAGGGGGGGAGGGGGGGGGGGGGGGAAATTAATTACTGTCGTTAAGTACAGTTATTTTATTTGACATATCAGTCATGGAGGCCATTTATTTGCAGAACCAGTACTTTTAATACCTGAGTATTTAGTTTTAACACAGGACTTTTACTTGTAATGAAGTATTTGTTTACATTGCATCCTCTCTCCTCTCTCCTCTTTTCTTAGACATCCTCTCTTCTCCTCTTTAATCAGTAGTTTTTTTTTTTTCTTCTCCGTGGTGATGATGAAGGGGAAATTAAATCTTTCTGCCTCAGGGCTGAGGGTCTAATTAACAGAATATGAGGTCATTAATCAACGGCAGGGAACAGGGAAGGTTGCCTACTTTACAATCTTAAAAAAGCAAAATGTTATAACAATAGCCGGCTATGCAATGTTGAGATATTGACTGGCATTACACAATGAAATCCACAGAGTAAGAATGTTGACTGGTGTATGAACAATGGCGTTAACCACAGCGAGGAAACCATGTTGAAATGTATCAACCACAAACATGCTTGAGCTTTTCATATCCTTAATGTCGGCCTCTCTCGTCTCTTCTTTTTTCCTTTACTCTCGTCTCCTTCACTCTTCAGTCCACTTATCTCCTCTCTTCTTGTCTCCTTTCACCTTCTTTCCTCCCCTCCCCTCGACTCTTGTCTCCTCTCCTTTCCTGTCCTGTAGTCTCCTTTCATCTCCTCTCTGCTTTTCTTGTTTCTTCCCCTTTACTTTCCTATAATCTTGTCCCATCTCCTTTCCTGTCCTACATTCTTCTTTTGTGTCCTTTCCTCTCCCATCCTCTCCTCTCCTTCTCTGTTGTGAGAGATTATGACTTTCTTTGTTACCATGACAATGTAACACCGTTATTTATCTCTCGTGCTTATCATCGTGACAACCCAGCGTCGCTGACATTTAGAGAAAGGTTCAGTTCAACACTGACTCTTTATGATTTACACACACACACACACACACACATATTTCCTCCTAAAATGTGTGTGTACCTACTACCTGCATATATTTATGCCATGACGAAAGGGTGGGGTGCCTTGCCCAATGGTACAGTGCCAAAGTCTAGCATTTAGTGGTATTAATACCAAGTGGTGTCACTATGCAGAGAGGGCAAAGATGGTGGTTTGAAAAGGCTAAATACGTTGCACAAGAGTGCGAAAGTAACGCCTGGAGTTTGCATATCATTAACTTCTGTATAGGCTAGTGGGATGAGCAGGCCAGGTTAATGGTTTGGAGATGTTGGATGTGGGGGGGTGTTCCAGAGCATTGCCTAAAGGTACGGGAGCACGACCTGACATTTGATGTGTTAATAATGCCGGCAGGGCGAGGGATGGTGTGGATGGTGAACCAGGTTGCTGGAGGGGATTACAGATGCAGCACTTGGCTAGGTTTTTTGTATTTGGAAGAAGTAGCAGGGAATGGGTGAGGGGTTGAGTTTGGTAGCATAAATGCACTTCCCCAGGGACACATTGGTAATGCCTATTATTAGAATTGTTGTTTTTTGTCAGGCAATCCACCAGCCACCAGTAATTTAGAGGTACTCTGGTCCGGCTGGAGTCTACCTGAGGGCATGGCATGATTTAGAGCACAGCCAGTCAGCCTTTTGGGCTTTTGACCCGTTAAAACAAAGGGATACCTCGTCCCTTTGTTTAGGGAGGAGGTTGTTAAGAGTATTTGGCACCTCAAAGACCATTGGGAGTGAATTTATTGTGCTGATTAGTAGTTCGGTGGGTTATATATAGTCAAAGGTATTGGCAGAGAAAAGCAGTGATCTCTACGCAGAATCGTTTGAGCGTCATCGGATAGCTCCGCCAACAACTCTACTTTTGTTCCTTTATAAGCCACGTCGGTTTGTCCCAGTTTTTAATCACCGTTTGTGCTTAAGGCAGCATTGACTGCGGAGGGACGGTTTGGCAGTTTTTGTAATAGAGCTAAAACTATTCTGTGTAATCTCTTTGGGGGCTGACGTTGGCACTAGCCACCATGGCAGCGTCTCGATGCTACGCTGGCAGCGAACATTCATGGGCCGGGGCTCTGTGGCTCAGTGGACTAAAGCAGATACGCTTGACTCATAATGTTGTCAGCCAGTACCACTCTAAACCTATCTGGCAGGCCATTCTCTCCCCGTCTCGCTCTCTCTCTCGCTCTCCTCTTGTTTTCCACTGTGTACTGTTTAATAAGGTTGTTGAAAAAAAGGCATTTCAAGTGCAGCAGAGCTCGTTTCTCGTCCACTGGATTGTTTTTGATCGTACCATCAAACCGTTCTGACATTGAGCTCCACAAAAGTAGTATTTGTTGCATCGGATGACATTGGATTTTAAAGATGCACATCGCAATGCTGAAACGATCAAGTAGTCGATTGACTCAAGATTCAAAATTAATTTTGATAATCTATTTTTCAAGTGAAAATGCCAGAAATTCCCTGATTTCACCTCCTCAAATGTGAAGCTACTGCTTTTTTCTTTGTCTTTTATGGAAGTGAATTAAAAATCTTTGGCTCTGGGGCTGTTGGCTGGATAAAACAAGACATTTGAAGACTTCACTTTGGACATTTGATAGGCCAAACAAATAATCAATTAATAAAGAGAAGGCTCTGCAGGTTGACTGATAATGACAAAAGCCCACTTTAAAGCAACAAATACACATACTGTTATGAGAAATTAATTCTTAATAATGTTAAAAACCGATCTTAAAGACAGGTTTATAGACACACCAGTGGAATTGAAAGCTTGTATATTTAGAGGAAAATGATTCCACCGCCTGGAAGCAACGATGGAAAACACTTGATCCACTGTGGATTTTTAACAGGGAACATGTGATGAAGTGAACATAAATATGATCTGGGCAAAAAACAAGCAGTTTTGGTCCATGCAGTGCTTTCAGAACAAATGCAACCATCTTAAAATCACTTCCTTATTGGACATTGAAGTACACGGAAAGTCTTGTATCTTTGTTGTGGACGAGCTGCATGTTTTGTTGTATTCCTGCTTTACTGTGGAATGTTGTTACCATGCGATGCTGAGAGTGGAACTCTCCCATTAGCCACTATCCCATCAACAGGCCGTTACTGTTTAGCTGAAGAATACTTCCTTCTATCTACCGTGCTGCCGCTACTGTTGTTGTTGTGTGACATATCTAGGTCTCGGGGGTATTTTTAGCCTCATCGTTATATTATGTCGTCATTCTATTAGCGTCCATTTTAGACTTTGGCAGTTCAAAGACATCGACCATTTTAGAAATCAGCAGACTTCAGGTGTCGGATGTTCTCGGCATCACAAGGGTCTACTTTTGTAGTATACGTGTTGTGTCAGGTTCATAACTCATATTTAATGCTATTTTTGTCTCCGGTTAGACGTTGTTGTTTTTCTGTATTCCAGCAGCACCATCTTGTCTTGCAGGCACTTTTCTCACGTCACCATCTTAGAATCAGGGCCAAAAATAAAGCAATGGAGTGACATCCGTCTTGTGTTCATTTTGCGTGATAGTTTGAGAGAGGGAATGGTGCTGGCCTTGTTCATTCAGAATGAGGAAGTAGGATTATTTTAATACCACTATGGCTACAATAGAAGTGTGTGTGTGTGTGTGTGTGTGTGTGTGTGTGTGTGTGTGTGTGTGCTCAGAGGCGATGGTGGGTAAAATAAATCAATCAAGAGAGAGAGAGAGGAAGAGCCAATCTAAGACCTAGGATACAGTGTTTGGTTTTGGAAAGCTGATGATGATGATGATGATGATGATGTGTGTGTGTGTGTGTGTGTGTGTGTGTGTGTGTGTGTGTGTGTGTGTGTGTGTGTGTGTGTGTGTGTGTGTGTGTGCACCAGTTGAAAGCCTGTTATGTTCTGCTGAAAAGTGTTTTCTCACAGTAGATTAGCTGAACAATAAGTGATAATCACTATTGTTCTACAGCTTATTGTATATACTGTAGAGCATATTGTGTATGATTTAATATGCAAATAGATTTAACAATTTAGGATGGAGTGCCTCGCGTGTTTAACTGGAGCACAGATATTGTGTTGTTTTGTACTCTGTTCTATTCTATTGAGATCTATTCTGTGTCCTTATATCCTATTCAGTTCTGTTCTATTCCGTTCTGTTATGGTCTGTTTTGTTGTTTTATTCTGCTCAAGTAGATGTATTGTTTTATACTTAGGGATGCAACCAACAATGTAATTGTTTTCATTTATCATGATTATCGATTATTATTTCAATGACTGGACAAATTCCCTAGCCTATAAAGTGTCAGAACATAGTGAATAAATACCCATCACAGTCTCCAAGAGGCCACGGTGATATCTTCATACAGCCTGTTTGTTCAGACCAAGAGTACAAAGATATTCCAGATGTTACATTTACAACAAACAATCCTCACATTTATAAACCAGCACATGTTTATCACTTTTGCTTGAGACATGACTCATAATTAATTATCAAAGATTGACTTGCCCAATTACTCAATGTATTGTTTCTGCGCTGGTTCTATTCTATTCATCTCTATTCTATCCTGCCAACATAATTAAACACTATCATGGCTACCGTCCCTCAGTTTGGGATGAGCTCATGTGAGATTGTGAGATTAGACATCAGGCAGGAAAGGCTCATATTTCACCGGAGCAACATCTGGTTGAGGTCTGAGCTGATTACTGGAACATCTGGATGGGCTGACTGACCGCCCTGTCAGCACACCCAGATTATGAATTATTTTTCAGCTGCATTTCCGGCAGTCGACTGCTATAGGTACAAGGTAAAGTATTGAGTAGTGACAGCAGACATAACAAATTACCCGAAGTACGTTTGTTATTGACTCACTCCAGTGACTGAAAACTTTCTCCAGAGCCCCATCATATTAATAATAACAAAAGCAATGGATTTATATTTTAAATCAGCAGAGAGAGGAGCAACATTCTGCAAACAAAACAAGTAAGCCAGAAAAATACAACCCAGAGGACAGCTATGAAAAATGCAATTAATCATGTGACACCGCTGGGTTGTTGCAGGTAAATTGTATTTTGTAGGATGTGGAAAATGTGACTGGTGTGGTCAATTTAGATTTTGTTGACACGTTATCTCTGCTTAAACGCTCACACATTTACAATTATTATTACCTGAAGGCAGCACAGTTCTTATAGAGAAATGAAACGGGAGATGGGGAATAAAGAGATTTCATCAGAACATCAAACAAAGAATATAAAAGAAAGAAGAAAAGTAAGAAGGAGCTTTTTTTCTGCTCTTCTCTTCTCTTTCCAATTCCTAGTTTATTTGTTGTCTGCTTGATGAGAAACAGCCTCAGAATCACAAAGGAGAAACAAATGACACCGTCTTAGTTACAGGGGTTGCTTTGTCTTGTACTGTGAGCTCTAAAGGAATGAGAGGAGAGAGAAACAGAAGTGAGTAGAAGCATGCAGACATAAAGGGAAAGAATAAAAAGTATTTTGGGGTTTTTATGAACAGAAAGTCACTGCTTCAAAGTGTTTCTGTCAAAGACAAAAGAGCAGCGGAATGGGGAAAGTTTACGTTGGTGTCTGTTTGTCTTAGATGATGAGTTTAGTGCTGTAACTAACTGTAACATACCACAGCGTACACACACACACACAGACATGCATACATTGCAATACTAACTATCAGAGAGATACAGGAAGAGGTATAGAATGATTAAGATTAAAGATTGTATTCGTCACATGCACACTGTGAAATTTAAAGTGACAAGCATCACAAAAGACAACAAAACCAATATGCTGTAAAGATAAAACACCATAATATTCACTTATTGAGACAACAGAACCAGAATGAGCAGTATACAATAGATGTACTGAACTGACTTAAATACCATACCAGGGGAGGAGTTAAAAAAAACACATGAATAAGCTTTGAAATTACTTCTTTAATTCACAGAACTGACACAGCTATCTGTCTTCGCTGTTCATATCTTCAACACGGCTTGTTTTTTTTGTAGCAGTTCACTCATGTAGCTACATGTAACACAGGCAGAGGGCATTTAGCAAGTCCAGCCACACACACTAACTAACTCATCAGAGGGCATCGCTGCGAGTCTGTTCAAGCTCAGGTATGTGCAGTACAAGCACAAACAGCTGCAAACACGAAAGAACCGATTCACCGGTCTTGAACCCGATCCACCGCAAATTATATGCGTTTCTTTCTTTCTTGTTTTTTGACCCTCTCTTTGTCTCCTTGTCTCTGTGAACAGGTTCTTACATGTTTGTGGACTCCTCGCAGTATGACGTCGGGGAGAAGGCCAGGTTCCAGCTGCCGGTCATGAAGGAGAACGACACTCACTGTATCGACTTCAACTATCTCCTCACCAGCCCCGACGGCTCCAGCCCCGGCACCCTCAACGTCCTGGTGAAGGTAATGACAATCAATGCATAAATGGTGACATGCATGCATACAGATGGAGAGGGAGAGGAGGAGAGAGGAGCTCAGTGGATCCCAGGAAGTCCCCCAGCGGGCTAGGATTCTGGATGTTTCAGGGGGCCAATGCAGAGAAGCCAATATGGGAAAATAATATCTCTTTTTCTCGTTGTTGTCAGCACTCTGGATCAACTGGAGAGTCTTGAGGGAGAAGTCTGATGATAAGGAATTGCAATAACCAACAACTATACCACATATACACATATAAAAGAGTGCCAGTAGTTTATTTATCTTAACTGACTGAGACTGGTTGTACTGGTTCAGTTACCTGTCCAGTAAACAACCTGCCCATTCCTTTTTACTTTTCAGACATTAGCATTAAAGCTCTAAGCAGCTCTAAGCAGACACGATCATCTGAATGCCTCTACATAGTCGTTCACACTGTGTGAGGAAAGGTTTGATTTCATGAGACACAGACGGAAAACATATGGTTCCTTTTACTCCGGAAAACAAGCCCGGATGAGATCAAGTGCAGAGTTGAAGCTTTCCGTTTGTCACAATGGCAGATGGTGAACAGAGCCTCTCAGCTTAAAACAAAACAAAACAGAATTCATGGGGAAATGTGGTCTCGCTTTTGGGAAATACAACCACCAAGTAACGCAGCTAGCATGCGATAGAGGCGGCTGACTGCCTTGCCTTTACCGGGAGCTTGTGTAAGGTTGCCTAATTAAGCTTTAATAATTAATCTGACAATAAAATACCGACTTTTAAAATCAGCAAACGTGCACTTTAAACACACTGAGCGTCTTTGTGTTTAGATGAAGGTGATAGTTTGTTGGACATTTGTCAAAGTACTAAGTGTGATGGATATGAAATGTAGAGTAGAGCCGTGCCGTACCGTGCAGTGGTGCACACACATTTTATGATGCAATAATCCAAACTTTTCCCAACATTCCTATCTTCTCTTTCCTCTCTCCTCCTCCTTAAGTTCTTTTTTTACAATTCGTGGAAGAGGTTAGAAAACGCTTTAACTGAAGATTGCCATTTTACTGGTTCTGTCTCTTCCTGGTTCTGAGCAGCAGGGGAGTATTATGAGCTGGAGCACTGCCCTCCAATCTGATGACACAAAGTCAAACCCACTACTACTATTACTACAAACACCTTATATTGTGCTCTGTGTCTGTTGCTAGGTAAACAAGGGTCCTCTGGCCAACCCGATATGGAACGTGACGTCCCACACTGGTAAACACCGGCTCAGAGCGCCACTCTCACTTCATAAGTTATTGTGACACGGTTGATTGTGTCCCCGTGTGTTGACTGTGATATTGTCTCTCAGGTAAAGACTGGCTGAGGGCCGAACTCGCTGTCTCCACCTTTTGGCCCAATCAATATCAGGTAACTCATCAATCGCAACCAATGGCTGTGTTAATGCAGGACTCCTTTATTATGTGAATGTTTCCTTATTTCCACTTGTGTTCATGTGAATACAAAAACACCACACACACACACACACACACACACACACACCCACACACACAAATACATACGCATGCTGGGGGGTAGGCAGCTGATTTATTTGTGTTGACTGAGGCTCAGGAGGTGACGATTAGGCTAGAAAGACACTGAAAAACTAGGTGGGTCTCTGTGTGTGTGTGTGTGTGTGTGTGTGTGTGTGTGTGTGTGTGTGTGT